GTGAGAGAGAGGGGAAAAGAGAGAGAGGGAGAGATAGTCACCACCTGTGGATCCAGCAGGTCTATCCAGGTCCATCTTCACCCTGGGCTTCTCAATGGTGGAAGTCCCGAGTCATTCCTCTGCTGGTGGGGGTCCCGAATCATGCTGGGGAGCTTGGGGGAGTATCCCAGGTTGCTCATCTAGGGGTAACACCTTTATACAGTCCAAATTCTGAGTATCCGTGGAGAAGTATTGCTAATTTCCATGTGAAGGGAGGATGGCTGTGCCTTTATCTGCATGCTTCCTGGGGGTGGGGGTTCGGTGGTCGCAGATATCGCCTGTCCAGGGTGATCTTTGGTCGGTGATATGTGTATGCAGTTTGACACAGTGGGAATTTTTATCCCGAGATGGTAATCAGGATGTGCTAACGAGATCTCACCTCCGCCAGACCTGGAATTAGCATAAACTCTAAATAGCATAAATAAACCTTTGTGCTTATCTCAAATCGTGGCTAGCGTGTCTTATCTTAGGGCAAATCCCTTTCGTGGCCTTAACAGTGTTTGAGACAGGCAAGGTGTTGTATAATCCCTGACACAGTCAGTGGCACTGCTCACCGCGCTGTGCTCGCCGGGAGACTGAAAAGCATCCCGGGTAATGCTTGGCCACCCGGAAGGGTAACCAGAGGCTGCCGGAGGGTTTCAGAGCCTGTGAGCTGTGAGTGCCACGCTGGGGGGCTGGGGGACACGGCTCCAGCCACGCACAGCTCACCACAGATCCCTCATCTCCACAGGTCTCTTCGAGCAGAGGGTTGAACAGTACTTGGAAGAGCTTCCAGACACAGAACAAAGCGGAGTAAACAAGTTCCTGCGAGGCCTTGGTGAGGAGAATCTTTAGAAGGATTTCTGAAGTGAATTTTCACAGTGGTGGCATTTTGTGGTTTTTGTTTTTTTTTTTTTTAAATTTAAAAAAGCCTTACCTGAGGTGAAATCAGATTGTCAGGCAATTTCAATGTGATAGGAAATGTGAAGATATTGAAAACATAGTTAAAGCTGACAAAACCAGATTTAGTTATGATATTTGTTAACACTTCCATTTTCATTTGGGAGTGGGGGAACCACACCATAATCAGGGAGTAGAACAGGAAGGTGTCTGACCACTCAGCATTCTGTTAGTTAGCTGTCCCTGCTGGTATCGAGTAGAAGAGTTACCCTGCAGCAATTACATTACAAATTAGACCCATTTGCTGCTCACTTTTGACTGTCCCTGGCTTTTCAGAATCTGCTAGACATTGACTGTGTGCTTTCCTTAGGCAACAAAATGAAGTTCCTTCACAAGAAGAACTAACTCCTTTCTGCTGAAACACCAACCCAAAGACTATTTCTGCCACTGCGTGAGACACCTGCAGCGTTCCGGAGTCCTGAGTGGGGGGAGTGGAGCGAACTGACCGCAGCTGTAAGCGACAGCTGTTAGACAGAGTGCCACGTGATGGCTCCTTTCTGTATTTGGGTAGAATTTGTACATAATGTGCTGTAAGCTTTTGTAACTGATTTTGTAATGAGCAAGAAAACTGTGGTAAATATTTGTATATTCCTGAGAAGAATAGGTGCTTTTTTTGTTTCCTTTAGTATGAATTGAGTTATGCTCGGTGCAGAACCAAATAGCTGATACGTGCAGCTGACTGTCTCAGCAGAGCCACTGACTTCAGGGGATGTTCGTGAGAGTGACACTGCTGCCTGAGCACTGCAGGGTGAATGAGCTGGGCTACGTGGGAGAGGCTGTGCACATGGGGGCTGCTTCCATGCAGCACAGCTGTTTGGTTGTTTCCTTCTAATAGATTTTAAAGGTAGAAATAACAAAGTAACTTGATAATAAGGTACTTGGTTCACAATACAAAACTTCCACTTGGGTTGAACTCTGGTCAGTAAACTCCTTGTAACCCATTCTGCACTAAGACTGCTAAGCCTGAGGAGATCTCAGCTCTTTGACATGCAAGCTGCAGCAAGTAGGTACACTACATCCTTTCCTAATGTATGTATGTATGGTTTCTAATAAACTTTGTAAATACACCTGTTTGTTTATATTCATTGCAAACCTCTGCAGTTTCTGATGTTGAGCAGGTACAAATCTAGTAACCTTCCTGTGATTTTTAAATGAATTTGTAATTAAAATATAAAATGGTTATTAAGACCCTGACTTTTAGTAGGTTTGCTATTTCATGACATGCTGTTTGGGTTTTCTTCAATGTTTTTCACTGAAAAGGCATTTTATATCCCTGTTCTGTTAATTCTATCCTAACGAAAGCATCTGTTAAAACTTGTTTTTCATGGGTTATCAGCAAATTATTTTGTCATTGTATCATAGCTGAACTGTGGTATATTCAGGTGGGTTTTGTGCTACCTTAGTGAGATGATCAGAGTAGAATATGAGCAGCTTGTAGCAGACAGCCTTTGCCTAAATTTCTGATGAGCTGATCACCTGCATTTCATGAGAATAGTCTGCTTTTCTTTTGCATTAATTGCAGTGTGTTAGGTGGTGTTTCCATGTCAGTGAAGGCAGGACAGGAATGGTTTAGCTTCCTGTGGCTCTTGCACAGGTGTGAATGGTACTGAAGTACCACATGCATCCTCAATCTGGTAACAGAACTCCTGTTGAGGCTCTGTCAGTTTTCTGTAGTCTGAAGAAGAAAATATAAAATGCTTGAATATGTTTGCAAGTCTGACAGATAATGAAGATTACCTAAAGCTTCTTACTGTTGAAGAAAACGAACCACACTGACTGTGTTTTTCATTTGCAGCATGATTTGTGTAGCTAGTGTGGCTTTGAGGCTTGCGCAATTCCTAACCTGACAGTGGTTCTGGTTTGCTATCAGCCTCATAGAACAAAATAGAGGGATTGTTCACTAAAAAGGTGAAGTAATTTCCTTTTTTAGTTGCCTCCCTCACACTTGTGTGCATACAAAAGCTTCTTAAGTGTGCATGACGTCTCTAAAATATCGGGTGCTTTTGGTTCAAGGGATATGTCATCACAACTGAGAGCTTCCATTAGTTTTATTCTATAATATACTTGAAGGTCCAGAATGACTCCCAAATGTAGTTCTTCAGAGTGGAAGGAATAATGTCACTTGTACAGGTGACCTTTTTATAAACAATAGCTGCCACTAAACGTATGGGTAAATACATATTCCTGTTATGAAAGCAATGGATAAAACATCATCAGCTGAAGGATGTGCTGCAGAATTGCTACAAAGGCAAGACAAACCCATGGAGTGCTGATGTACAAGAATGCAGTGCTGTAAAACCCATCTCCCACACCAAAGCTGTTTTCCTCCATCTGCACTTTAAAGATTTAAGGAGAAAGCTTTTAAACATTGTATTATCCATCAACATGTTGTTCCCATTTTTGTAATGTGAATCAGGTGCCTTCTTGATACTCAGACTGTGGCTATATAAAACAATCCTTGTGTTGCTTGAGGTCTGTGTTTGAGGGGATCAGGTGAATGAAAAATAAGGAGTGTATTATTTTCCTTTCTAACTTAGTTGTGAAAATTAATGCTGTTCCTGAGCGTGGAACATTATGAGTGCAGCATTTAACTGAGAGGGAAATCCTAGAGTACTGGCACCTGTGTTTAGAACTGGTAAAGGTTTAAAATCTTACAGTATAAAATGCATTAAAAACAACAACCCCCCAAAACCACCACAAAACAAACAAACACAAGAAAACTAATCAAAAACACCCCAAAACACACAAGCTTAAGAAACAGAAACACACTCCAGGAATCAGTGCTCTGGTGTAGCAAATAACTGTGTTTAAGTATATGGCCATGCCTGGAGTATTGTGTCCAGCTATGGGCTCCTCAGTACCAGAGGGGCATGGAGCTCCTGGAGCAGGTCCAGTGGGGGGCAATGAAGACGATGAAGGGACTGCAGGAACTAACTGATGAGGAAAGGCTGAGGGAGTTGGGCCTGTTCAGTCTTGAAAAGAGACAACAGAGCGACCTCATTAATGGATTCAAGTACATGAATGGAAAGTGCCAAGAGGATGGATCAGACTCTGCTTGGTGGTGGAAACCAATAAAAAAAGAGGTAACAGCAAAAACTGATGCACAGGAAGTTCCACCAGAGCATAAGGAAGAACTTCTTTCCTGTACAGTCACTGTGTCACTAAAATCAGGAATAAAACCCCTTAACACCGATGTAGTATTACGCTCAGGCATTATTTATTCCAGTGCCGGATGCATGGGGGATGCTCCCAACTTTTTATTATTTATACATTTCAGAAAACAAATTAGTGCTCATTGGTCACAAGTTACCTAACTCTTATTAATTAGTATTCTATCCTCTACTGGTTAGTGATTCTGTTGCCTATGCTAATAGTCCACTTTTGGGTCAGTGGCTTATTGGGGGGGGGATCTTCCATGGGGGTTTTGGATGGTCTCTGGTGGTCCCTTGTGGTTGTTGAAAAGATGTGCATTAGTGTCCTTTCCATGAACTTTGAGTCTTCCTTCCATATATGGTCTTGGTTTAGCTCATTACCTCGTTTGCGGATTATAAAGTTCTTTATCTTGGTCTGGGTTAACTTCTCAAGGATGACCTGGTCACAGGTGTGAGAATTTATGTCCTTGGGTGCATTCTTGTCTGAAGCCCCTTACAACAACTCCCCCTTTGAGACTTACTGACAGTCTTAGATTATTTTTGCGCCCTTGTTAATTCTCCACCAATTAACACTACTCTGCTAATTTTGTAACATAACGAAGAACTTTGAATAATATTCTGAAGGAGAAAGTAACAGAACTATTGAACATTATATACGACAAGAGGAGGGCGCAAATGGTACAGAGCTGTAAACAATGTAATCTGAGGCACGTTTATTTTCCTTTCTGTGCATTCTAGGGTCGTATAAAGCAGTTAATTCCTGCAAAGCCACGGAAGGAGTTAAATGTGTGATTCCAAAGGGTTAACCTAGGAACAGGGAGCTGTGCCCTGAGATTCCCCAGGTATCAACGGAGCACTGAACAGGTTGCCCAGAGGTCGTGGATTCTCCCTCAGTGGAGACATTGAAGCACCGTCTGGACGCAATCCTGAGCCGTGCGCTCTAGGCCGGCCCTGCTCGGGCAGGGAGGCTGGACCAGATGACCCACTGTGGTCCCGTCCAACCCGACCCACTCTGTGGCACACAGTACTACGTTCTCACTCCTGTCGGTGCCTCACAAAGTGACTCCGCCCTCGCTCCCTCCCTCGCACCGTTCACGTCCCGCCCGGGCACAGCCCCCCCGGATCCGCTGCGCCCAGCGCCGC